TATGGAATTGTTTTAGATTAACCACTAGTCTCGAATTTGAATTATGGATTGCTCTATTATTGTGTGGATCAATTATTATGAAATTATTTCAAATTAACCACTCGTCTCGAATTTGAATTATGGATATACAATTGCTTTAAAAATTTGATAAGGAGAACTTTATCGCTCTAATAGCTCCACCAGACTTGATCAGATTAACCGTTTAATCAATAAATCGTAAAGAAATTAAAAATAATAATACTGTGTTTATTGGGTCAATCATTTACATTTATTCGTGTAATCTGGTTTGAAGTCTTCACACGCAAATTACGGCATTTATATACATGATCAAAGGTAGAAAAACACATAAAAGTACTCTTAATAAATGCACCTTCTGCTCAAAAAGATCTCATCCATCATTAACTAAAAAAAAGAAAAGGTAAAAGAGAAAAGTAAAAGACAATAAGGGGAGTATCATAGAGACTTCCATCCGTTTCTCTATATAAGGGAGTTTTTCACGCGTACATTGAAGAAAGGTAAATAAGTTAATGTTTAAGAGCATAGTAGTAGTAAATACTAATCATCGCTCTCATTAGATGATCGAATAAATTACTACTTTGACTCAAGAAATTAGGTAAACTCTTTTAAGAAAAATTTAAAACCAAAATTTAACCTTCACAATTTGAACTAGTAGATTTTTTTTAGTTACATCTACGGAAGAAAATTGTTTTAAAAATAGTAAAATTATTACAACTAATCGTTAAGAGGGGAAAGAACTTAGTGCCCGTTTGGATGAATTTTTATTTTTAAAAAAGTTGCTTTTTTTAAAAATAAAAGTCTTTTTGAGAATTTTTAGATGTTTGGATAACAACTTTTTAAAAAAGAAAAATTTAAAATAAAAGTTGAAATGATGCTTTAATTTTTTTATAGCTAATAATTGGTTGCTTTTGAAAAATGCAGAAATTAAAAGATAATATAAATTTTTAAAATACAATTTTAACATTATCCTATCATAACTATTTTGTCTCTCTTTATTCCATGATCATACTTTCTTTATTGTAATTTTATATATAAAAAGTGTTTTTTATTTTAACATCCAAACAACTTTTTTATGTACGTGATTTTCAGATTATATATCCAAACGTAAAATAATTTTACCTTTTAAAAAAAGTTATTTTAAAATAAAGCAATGCATAAAAAGTCATTTTTTTAAAAGATCATCCAAACGGGAAGCCCATTTGTTTCGCCTTCCAGAAAAATAGTTTTTATCTATTTCTTATTTTAAAAGTGTTTTTAATAAAAGTTAAAGCTATTTATATTTTATAAAAATATTTAGTTTTTGAAAAAAAAAATATTTAGCTTTTGAATTCTGCTTTTTTAGAAGTTAAAATTTTTAGCTTCTATAAAAATATAAATTTTTGATTTTTTTTATAACTTCTATATTATTTTTTTTAAAAGTAGATATCCAAATGAACTTAAAGTCAGAAATACTTTTTTTTTTCTTTAAAAAAAGTAGTTTTGAAGAAAAAAAAGCTGATAGAAAGAAGCCCTTGCTACCGGTAGTAGGCCATATCTATGAAATTTAGAAGTCTATGTTGGATGGAATTTGATACATTTCAAAGATATAAATAGTCAAAGAGTAATTGAATAGCGAATTGGTGACACCCCTTCATATATCCGAGTCATTTTGGGTTGATCAATAAAGCTGAAGACCCCACCATATATAATTCGTCTTTGATTTAATATAATATACAATTAACGGTCCAAAGTAGTTGCATAATACTGAAGCAGATGCCTTGGGACCCATGTATGAGTAAAAAGAGCAAATTTCTAGAATTAAAGAGCAAAAGCTCTTGTCATAAGTGGGTCACTTTTGCAAAATCTCTCGAGTTCTACACTCTTTTGTTTACACTTTTTTTGTTTAAGTAATCATTTATGCTTTTTCTTGAATATGATTTTGTATGATCAATTTTGTCTATGTACGGCGACGATAACACTAAAATGATGCTTAATCTTATTCTTGGCTTCGTATGAGTATAGATTATCTAAATGGGATAGTAGAGGATGTAGAGCAATTTCTAAGCAACTGCCTTTGTTTTCAATTATTTTATTTTTTTAAAATAAACTGAATAAAATAACCACTCTACTGTTGTGTAGCTGTAACCTAGCATATAAGTTCATATCAATTATCCCATATGATATTAAAGAAATATTAGAATCAAACCACGTTATTTTAAGTTTAAAAAAGAAATTAGAATTGCGAAAAATGGTTCAAAGTCTAAACTATCAAAAGTACCATAATAATAAAATGTGTATTTGAATAAATTTATTTCATGATAAAAAATAATAATAAAAATGTAAAAAAATAATAATGAAAATGATCAAGAAAAATATTTTTAATTAAAAAACTGTTTTTATAATATTGCAAACAGTATAATGTGGCAAAAAACCGATTCAAGTGCTTGACACAAGTTCAAACAAAATAACAATTTGTAGGGGTTAGCCAATCCCAATGTTAAACCAATCGCGATTTATTTGATCCTATTTTTTTTAATCATTATCATTATTTATTTTAAAGTTTAAACCCGATCCTGTGAACACGATTTCAATATTATTTTTTACTTATTCATTTTTTTCTAAACTCGATTTTTTTGGTATAAATTTTATTTTTTTTTAAATCTTTCCATCAATTAATTGATTACTCAACTAATTTAATTTGAGCCGGACATAACATCAAGGGCAACAAATTCTTTATACCAAATTTTTAACACAATTACTTATTTATAATTTGAACTTGAAATTATTAATTAAGATAAAATAATCTTGTGCCAATTAATAGTACAGATTGTATGACCTGTGTATGTACTATTTTATTGATAATAGTGCATGATCCAAGTACTTGTTTTTTCAGATATACAATTTTGATAAATTTTTTGAAAAAAAATCATCTCGCATTTTATTTAACATAATTATATCATATGAAATTATCTAAAAAAAAGTATAAATAAATCATTAGTTAATTTTTTTTACATTTCTCTTATTTCTAATCACTATTCATCTGTACATGAATGATTAAGATAATCTAACATAAAATGATCATGTTAATTTCTAATTTTCTTTGATATTGTTCGGTGCATGAGCTATGTAGCATTTTCTTGGAAATAGTACCATTGTCAACTTTCAGATTAATGCAAAATTGACCACCAAAATAAGTATTTTGTTTATAAAATATATATTTTAACATGAATTAGTTTTTGAAATTAACAAAAAATTGTATATTTTTAATTTAATCTAAAATATAATAATTTATTGATTTATTTAAATAATATACGATTAACTTATTTTATAATCTCTGTTATTTTGGTCAAAATTCTAATTTTTTTCTAATTAAAAAAAATCTAATCAGATTCGTATGGCTTTAAAATGCTAATGGGTGATTTTGCAGGGAGTAATAATGGGTTGTGTGGGAGTGATTAGCACTTAGCAGGGAATGAATTTTGTTGTAAAGGGTTGAAACATGATCGAGTTTATAAGTTAGGACTTTGACATAAGAAAGTTATGTAAAAATTGTGTCTATTGCTCTTTTATGTATGTTCATAAATTTTAATAAAGCTCCACTTATCTAATACATATACCGTAGGCGAAAACAAGAGTCGGCTTGTAACTCGTCAAAAAATGAGTCAAGTTGGGTTAATAAAAATGAGTTGTCACCCCGACCCGAGTCAGCTTGTGAAAAAATGATCCAACTCGCGGGTCAAACGAGCCAGTTAGCGAGTTGAGTTTTTTTTTTTTTTTTTATAAAAAATACAAAATATAATATATAAAATTGGATAAAATCCACACATGTTGTCATCATTTTTCTTCCTTTTCTAAACCTAAGTCCCTAATTTTCTCCCATCTTTATACTGTTAGGTTGTACTGTCTCTGTTTGGTTCAAATATCTTATCCATTTAGTAGCAAGCAAGTGATTATGATTGTTTCTTGATTTTGATGCAATTTGTTGTGAAGAAAATTCGAAACTAAAATATTTTGCCTTTATTTCTCATTTTGTAACCCTTTTGTTGAAAAACCACACAACTGGTGCATTAATACTACAAGGTCATTTAAATAGGCTGAAAACGAGCCAACCTGCAAGCCAATTTTCGAGCCAACTCGCGAGCTATTTTTTCAAACCAACCCGCGAGCCAACCCTAACTCGACTCGGGTCGAGTTTAATTGTGTTTTCTGACTCATTTTTTTTTTCTAAACTAACCCTAACCCGAATTTTTTTTCGGGTTGAATGTGGATTGAGTCGGGCCGGACCGAGTTGGCCCGTTTTGCCAACCCTAAATTCATATTAAAAAAGAATAGCCACAAAAATTACAATGTAACAAAATCATGTAAATTTTAAAGCAAAGTAAGTATCATTATTTTATTTTATTTTTCCTCTTAATAAACATATATGCATATGGAAGAAACAATTCCAATAAAACTAGTTAATAAATGCACTGGGACAACGTTGAAAAACGGAATCACTCCTTAAATGGTAACACAGAAAGTTAGGAACATAACAGAACTGAATGAATGGCACTCTCCATTTATTCATTCACAGGTGTGACAGTGTTCGTATGCAAAAGAAGAGTCACATAATATGCAGAAAAAGCATCATGCGTCACTTACAAAAACCCACTCAAGTCCACTCTGATTGGTCCGTTTTGGGCCATGGCGTGGGGCGGTGTGTCCCCTTACCCATCTCTTTCTTCATCTACATATTATAACTATTCTTTCACTTTACCTACCATATCTCATGTATACTCTTTTAATTACACACTTTTTTCCACTCTCTCTTATATCTCATTCTTAGCACTCAGCGTCACCCTTTTACTTTATGTGATACAAGTTCACAGCTTTTTTGTTGTTTCTGAAACATTACATCGATTCACGAACTGGGTCATCCTTTGATTGTGGATTAGAGCCGCACAGACTGTAAGATTCTACTTTGACTTTGAAGGGAAAGAACAGGTAAAAGCTCATTATGTTGCGAGTATTTTATATTAACATATTTTTTTGAAGGTTTTTGCTTCCTGTTTTCTCTATCAATTGTTGTTTGTTTTTAGTGCTATTATGTGATTTGAAGGAGAGTTTAAAGTGGGTTAGTTTTGGAATTCGGTGACAGAACCTAGGTCACCGTGCCTGTGCTTTTTTCCTGTTTTCCCTCCCTTGGATTCCGCTAGTAGTGTTTCTGTGCAGGAGAACAAATAAAGTTGGCAGCTTTATTGGAATCTGATGAAATTTGGCACTACCCTTTGATTGTTCCTGCTAGTTTTTAAGCTTGGTCGATTCTGGGCATGAGTATATCACTCGAAAGTTTCAATTTTGGGAGGCTTCTAGTTCTGGTTGCTCCACTTGGGCTTTGTTGGCCTTGATTTCAATTCTTAATTGCCTTCTCAACGCTTTGGAGGAACTCAAGTTCAAGCTTACTACTTTTCTCTCTTGTTTTGGGTTCGAGTGTTGCCTTTCTTTCCTTCTTTTTTCCTTTCTATGTTGTTTTACATGCAGTAAAGTTTGTTTATTTTCTTGGATCTGCTTAAGCCTAGGTTTTAGGGCAGTTTATTCAAGCTGTGTTTAATTGAGCTTGGTACTAGATTAGTGAATTTTGGGTTCTGCTAGTACTAGGTTGTTCAGCTGGTATTTGAGGGATTTAAGTTCTAAGAATTATGTGTGTCTTCTGTCTTAGTTTTGAGGTTTGGCTTGAACTTAGGGTGAATTTATTTTCTTATAGCTCTTATGCTTTGCCTGGTTCTCAGTTACTGTGCGCTATCATCTATCTCTTCTGTCTTAGTTTTGAAGTTTGGGTTGAACTTAGGGTGAATCAATTTTCTTATAGCTCTTGTGCTTTGCCAGGTTCTCAGTTATTGTGGTATCATCATGGATTCCCCACAATCAGTTGTCTCACCCTTCAGGAGCTCGGTCTTGGGTGAGGGTGAGAAGCACAAGTCTGATGTTTTCACACAAAGCTTTATTCCCTTCTCTAAGGACATTGAAGTCAATGGGAAGGAAGCTGTCATGTCAAATGTGGAGGAGTTCATTGGAGTACTTGATGTTTACATACATCAAGCCAGGGACATTCATAACATCTGCATATACCACAAGCAAGATGTTTATGCTAAGATTTGCCTAACTAGTAATCCTGAAAATACTGTGTCTACCAAGACTATCAATGGAGGAGGAAGGAACCCTGTCTTTAATGAGAATCTTTGTCTCAATGTTTGGACCGTTGATTCTTCTCTCAAATGTGAGATATGGATGCTGAGCAGAGTGAAGAATTATCTTGAAGACCAGTTGCTTGGTTTTGCTTTGGTACCTTTATCTGAAGTACTAGTCCAGAATGGGAAACTAGAGAAAGAGTTCTCTCTTTCTTCAACTGATCTATTCCATTCTCCTGCAGGTTTTGTTCAGTTGTCTCTTTCTTACACTGGTGCTTCTCCTGATGTTATGGCAATTTCTGCAATGCCTACAAAGGTTCCCACACATGTCACTGTGCAAGATTCAGAAACACCTGAGTCACTGGCTAGGGACTTAGATAAAATTGAGTTCCCGGATCCTAAGATTGAAAATGAAGACCACTTGATGGCTTCAGAATATTTTGGCATTCCATATGAGGAGACTCAGTGTTCTGATAACTTGGCTACTTCTGATGCTGAAAATCATAGTTCTGAAGCTGGTGTTCGTCTTGTGGAAAGCTTCTCAGCATGCAGTGTTGAGTCTGTTCAACCTCCTAAGGTTGATTCTCCACCTAGCAGTGTATCAACAAATGGGGTTTCTTCTCATTCTGTGGCTGCAAGCTCAGAATCATCTGATGATGTTGCTGTTTCTAAGCCTCCCAGTCAGGAACAAGTTTCAGGCGCTAAAGAGGAAAAAAATGTGGATGTTAAAGATGGTGAGAGTGATTCCTCAAGTGGGGTTCCCAGTGAACTATTCCCTAAGCCTGTTATTACTGTGAACATTGAGCCAGAGCCAAAGGTGGTGCAGCAGGAGATAGTAGACATGTACATGAAAAGCATGCAGCAATTTACTGAGTCATTAGCAAAAATGAAGCTTCCTATGGACATTGAAAGTGAACCAACTAGTTCAGGAAATTCAACCACAGAGCAGAAACTACAGCCATCAAAGAACAGTAGCTCCCGTGTGTTTTATGGGAGCAGGGCTTTCTTTTGAGCTTTTGCTTCCCTGGTTCAAGGGAATACAGGCCAAGTGACTGTAGATTTTAGAACGAAAACTGATATTAGTAGTGAACTGAAATAATGTATTATCTAGTGTGGTTTCTCCTTTTGTACTTCCTTCAGATGTTGTAGTTTACAGGGGATATAACTTCGTACTCTCACAAGCTTGTTGCTATCTTAACTACTACCTGAACTTTTCTGTGTTACCTTCTTTCTTTATCGTTCTTTTGATTTCAATGTCAATAATTGTTCACAAGATGTTAATCGTGTGTATAATCACTAGTGATAATATGGTCCCACATGCACATGGGGAACGCTCAAGTATATCAAGCAAAATCTCCCAGATTTTGCTTTCTTCTATTTCAGATGAAAAAGGTCATACCATACAATTGAAAGAAATATATTTGTATTATAAAACTATATCTTATCTGTACAAGAGTTCTCTATTTAAAGAGAATAAACAAACTTAATGGGCTAAGCCCAAATACTGACTATTACAGAATTACAAAAGGCAAAAAAATTAAAATAATGTAATTAATTAAAATAATTACGCATTTAATGCTGTTTTGTTAAAAATTACACATCTGTTGCACAATGAGACGCCCTCTTTGGGCGTCACATGTGACGCCCCACTGGGGCGTCTTCTCTAGGAGAGAGACGCCTCACTGGGGCGTCACATGTGACGCCCAAAGAGGGCGTCTTATGTGCAACCTATATATACCCCACTTTCCTTTTTTCACTCCTTACCCAGTCTGGGACAGACGTATACTACCAGATAGGGATGCACGACATAGGCCATGGCCACCGTGGTCCTAGTTTCATTGACATTTTCTTTATTCATTATGTTGTGGACTGTTTCATATTGTTATTATTTTGTTCTTTTGTATATGTCATATGAGTGTAGCATGTTGTTATATTGTAGACGCTACATTATTATATTATTTGGACTATTCACTATGTTTTGGTTATCGTTCTTTGCGGATTTATATTACGGTAACTAACAGCATCAGCTAATTAATAATTCAAGCTTAAAAACATACATAAACGGAAAGTAAAAAGTCCAACATAACGGACATTACAATTCATGCAATAACATAACCAACAGCAACAATATGAACATAATATCCAAATCATTCAATTCTCCCACGACTTGGACATCGCCGACGATTATGGCCGCGTTCCTTGCAAAGTCCACACCTGATACGGCTCTGGCTTGTCTCAACTTCATCCATCTCGTTGCGGATGCGAGTTGACTTTGGACGACCTTTTGCATGCAACATAGTACAATCAGGAATAATCTTTGCACCACTAATTTCAGGTATTGCTTCCTCGTTTCCGATTGGCTCCCACGGAAAAGAAGAAGCCTCGACCAAGTTATTTATCAAGAAGACGTCGTCAACGTAAGTGAACGCACTCTGCCTAACACTTAACGCAGCAGCAACAGCGTGACTACATGGATACTTAAAGGCCTTAAACTTTCCACACTGACAGTATCTCTGTGGGAGGTTGACAGAATATGAACGTTCCCAACCTGCGTCAACCTCGAATACAGTATGTTCAACATTGTATGCACGGACGTGGTGGCCTGTTGCATCTACCTGGTTCTTCTTGACCAATTCAACAACATGTTTGGAGTGACGATGAGCTGATTGAAGTTGTGCAAGAGCATTTGTTCCTCTCTCAACAAAATATGCAACCAATCTGCTATATATATGCTTAACCAATGCTGTTATAGGCATATTTCTGGCCCCCTTCAAAACCCTATTGACAGATTCAGCCAAATTTGTTGTCATATGACCGTACCTCCGTCCTTCAATATCGTAGGCACGCGACCACTTTTCCTTAGGAATCGCATCTATCCACTCAGCAATTTGAGGACTACTTTCACGAAAACTCGCAAGATTCCTTTCAAAATCAACCATTGCTGGAGTATAATGTAACGCCCCGTTCTAGAACCGGTTTGTTAACATCGCATTATGATATTAAACGCAGTTACAATCACATGGGTTCAATTAAAATTCGGATTAAATTTTTCATTTTAAAACATGCCGAATTTATAATACCCAATTTCGTGATCATAACCGTATTACCTTGCGGAAACAGATAAATTAAGCTTAACATCATGTTCTTGTTACATCTTTAAACCATTAAGTTACTTCCTATTTATTTCACAACTTCTATATTGTAGACCTCTTCATTAGCTATGCGTGGCTTCAAACCGCGCTCAAATCGGAGCACTGTAGCCCAAGTTAGGACAAATTGAAGCAACACAAGAGAGTGTTGGTCACAGGCCCCGCGCGCTTCAGCGCGCTACCGGGCGCTCAAGCGCGCGCTATCGGGCGCTAAAGCCTCCATCTGGGCGCTTAAGCGCACGGAGGCAGTAAGCATTAGGCATTCCAGTGTGGATGGGCGCTTAAGCGCGCATCAGGGCGCTCAAGCGCGCTATCCTGGGCGCTTAAGCTCCCATTGGGACGTTTTAGCGCGCAGAGACAGAAGCATCTCCTCCTTCAGTGGCTAAGGGCGCTCAAGCGCGGACCAGGGCGCTCAAGCGCGTAACCCTGAGCGCTTAAGCCCCACCCTGGGCGCTAAAACACGAGGGGACAGTAAGCATCCCAACTTTCTGCAGCACTTAGCTTACAAAACACTATGATCATTCCCTTGGCTCCCATCAACAAAAGGTGCAACCAAAGGCATGAGCATAGGCTAAGTTCATCCAATGAATCAAGATATACAAATGACCATGGGCTTTCAAAATAAAATCCTATACATGTCAACTACAAAAGGCATGCATAAACTCAAAAGAAATGCCACATTTCATGCATAATCCAGATATGGCCACTTGCCACCAGAGGCTCCTGCAGCATCCTTACCTGAAAGGGGGTCCCCACAACACGGGGTGAGATATACGAATATATCCAGTAAACCAGGGGTCCTTGGAGCATCTCTCCACCCCACAGTTCCATATCAGTGTAATAGCAATAACAATAATAATGCAGTAAATACATATCTATGCAAAGTGCAATACATATTCAGGAGAAATCCCTCGAGCTCTCAAGCTGTCCTAAGGAAACTCAGATGCAAATAGTCCTACTGGCCAGCTAACTACCAAGTATGATTTACGCATCGTCATGCCACATACCAACATAGGGAAACACCATCCTATGCCACACCAAATGCATACACATACGTATAACAAAGCATTACACTATTTTATTGCATTTATATACACAATCACAACCTCCACCCTTTCAGGGCTTGGTAGAACAGTCAAGGGAATTACACCCAAGGTCCGAAGGCTTACCTCAATGCTTCAGTCGACCTTTGTTCTTCACCAATGTCAACAATACTCTACTCCAAAACCAACACCAATTCCAATGAGCTACTCAAGCTCCATAGCTTGTTCAAGCGGTTGATCACTCACGGTCGGTCCAAATGTCTCAATCCTAGACATCATTAGGACACAATCATCAATCAACCAAGTCATATCATTCATCAACAATGCAAGAAATCCAATATCAAGCATCATATTCTTGCCATTTTACAAGTATACTCATTTAGCTATCTAAGCTCATTTTCACCGATTAAATGGTATTCCTAGCATTTTCCATAACATGCTCTAAGCTCCATTCTTCCTAGAACATAGCTAATTTAACAACATTTCATCAAAATCCCTAAAACACTATTCATAAACCCTAACTCATGCAAATTTCAAGGAATCATGAGGTTCAAGGGTTAGAATCTTACCACCAAGGGTCACACAACCAAGCAAGGAGTGTTCCTCAAGCTCCCATGGAGGTTGAACTTCCCAAAACCCCAAAATCTCTCCAATGGCCGAATTTTTGAGAGGCAATATCCCTCTCCACAATGCTCCCCACTCAAAACAAAGCAAGGATTATGAAAGAGGGCGAGATTCTAAGCGATTTAGGCTTTTGAATCACTCAAATCGGTTAAGGTTTGATCTCTCTCTCTCTTCCTCCCTTCCTTCTCCCTCATTTCTCCTTCTTCTTCTTCTTCTCTCTGTTTCTGGCTCGACGGGGGATGGGGGGAAAATGGGTTCTTTTAGTAGCTTAAGTCACTTAACATAGGTTAAGTGGCTTTAAGCGGGTATTGGTTCGTCTATCTATTCAACTCCAATAATTACCAAACTTTACCCAAAAGTCTGGAATATTATTCTAGGAATGTTACTATTTTTATTTTTATAATTTGGGTACTTTCACCAGTACCCATTTATACCCCTTAATTTTCACTGAGTACACTTTTTAACTCCAAAGTGACTCAGATTCATTTAATTAAGCCTTATACTTAATTTCACTCACTAAAACATGTTTAATTAATTAATTACACTAGATTTACTAATTAATTAAGTTGGGCTATTATATATAACCTGCACAAATTGGACATAAACGAATTAAACATAAATTGACAGTCATAATGGAAAAAAATAATTAAGCATTCAGTCAATGAGTATACCTAAATTCTTTAACATCCGCTTCAAATCTTCATTTCGAAACTTTTGATTGAAGTTGCTTGCAATATGACGAATACAGAATACGTGATACGCATTTGGCGGCTGCCAAGTAGGGTTATTTTCCACAGCAGATATTATGCTTCGCTGCCGATCAGATATTAAACATATGTTTGACATCGTAGTCACATGAGCACGAATATTAACGAGAAAATAATCCCATGCTTCCAAAGTTTCGCCTTCTACGATGGCAAATGCGATCGGTAAACATTCATTATTACCATCTTGGGTTGTGGCCACCAACAATTTCCCTTTGTACTTTCCATATAAATGTGTTCCATCAATTTGGATGACGGGTTTGGCAAATTTGAACGCCTCACAACACTGTCTAAACGTCCAAAAAATGCGATGAAAAACCTTTTTTTCCAGAAACTAAGCTCTGCTCGGCATAAAGATCATTAGTTTGTATATGATAAAATGAACCTGGAGAAAAGCGAAGCATGTATTCGCACCACCTTGGTAAAAAAGCATACGATTCCTCCCAATCACCGTACAGAATTGCCATCGCTTTCTGCTTCGCATACCACGCCTTTCTGTACGAAACTTGAAAGCCATATTTAGCAGTTATTCTTTCTTGCACCAAAGAGATTGACACAGATGGTTCAGACTTTATCATCTCTGCATTGAAGAGGATATCAGTGCCTCGATAACATCGAACGAATTTAATTACACA